ACCAATCGGTGGGTCCTTAACGCCGATAAATCTAGTGAGAATCTAGCCCTGTGGTGGCACGTATGTACATAGGTGGTTTGGGTACGCAGAGTTCACGCGAACCCCTCCCCCCTGTACTGCTTAATCTGCGTATGTGACGCAAGTTTTTTACGCTGCCTCAATCACTGCCATTGCCAGACCCATCACCAATTGGTTACCGTACTCAGACAAGCAAGAGCGAGTGAAGGAAGGGAACGCGCGATCTGTACTGGGTAATATCCCCATTGTAATAATTCCGACGAATCTGAATCAACGAAGACGGGCTAGGAGTCGTGGTTTCGAAGTCTACTAAGCAATGTGATCAGTTCTTCATTCCCAGATTGTGCACGCTCACTGCTTTTCAGCGAGGCCCTTATCATACATTCGCTGACTTGAGATCCAATTGACCCTCACAGTAACACGGCCCACTCAAAATCGTGTATAAGACGCGTAGGCGGTCACGTCGTCCCTGTCCGTAGTTTGGACATTGTCTTGTAATTCGGAACAGGAAGGGGAAAGAGAGAGCGTTTTAAATGCTGTACAAGTATGCCACAATACAAACTAACCGACATGCAAGTCTTCGGCACTGCCCTCAAACGGAGGACGTCTTCACTTGCAACAATCAAGACGTAATCGCAAATGAAATTGCGAAGTTACTAACTTTTTTTCCGGATTCGCGGCCTCCTCCCCCCCCCTTACTCTTTTGAAAGTTCTTCCTCGAAATTTAACCGACTGTGTTAGGTGTTGAAACAATGTGTGTTAGACAAACAGTGAGCAAAAACTATTTCCCGTCGAGGAAGGCCACATTGGCTGCATGTCCTCCAAGTCGAGTCGTTAGTCGTTTGACCCAGTGATAATGCAAGCTATCCAGTCGCCCCCCAGGCAAAGTCTTAACCCAAAATACGGATGCGGGCGGTCGTCGCTCACGGCTTACGTGGCTGTCATCTGTCGCAAGAATTTATGAAGTGTGTCCGGGTCCCGCCTAATGAGTGGCGCTTTGCTGAATACAAATATTTTGTATTTTAGACCATTAACAAGATGTAGCATAGATGTACCTGGGCTTCCGTTTCTCGTCTCTTGTAAACACAGCAAATACGAATTCTACCTAGGCACCTGTTCTTCCTCCTACCCCTTTTAATACTTATGACGTTTCAGTGCACACCCTAAATGTTTTCCCTCTCCCCATTAAATTGTTTTTGACTTTTGTTGTTGCTGATGCTGACTACGAAGTGAGTCTCGTAACCCATTTTCCTCTTCTTCCATTGCAGCCCCTTCCAAATGTTATCTTCTACGGTGTCTCCCCGTTTCCCCTTATTCGATCTTTGTGGTAACCCCCGGCTTCTCTGTTCTTGGCGTACTTTTACATGTTATCACAACATATTCCTACTGCTTCGGCACCTGTTTATACTTTTAAATACATTTGTCCTTCTTTTATGCCTTGAATCTGAATTATGTTGCACTGTGTGTATGGGGAGTCATGGTATGTGTTCTGAAAGTGGGAACAAGTCGGAGATGAGCACGGTAGAGCAGTTTGTGCAAGGAAAGAGGAAAGAGAGAGAGAAAAAAAAACAAAAGAGGAAACACTGCGTCCATTCCACCTCAGGCGACTGATCAGCTAGGCAGTGGCCTGTTGCTGGCGGTGGGGGAGAGAGTGAGGTCGACCCTCAGCGCATTTCTTTCCTCACTATAAACAATCTGATGGGTTTGAAACTCGCGGTGCGCTAAAAGCCGTGGCTTGGGGGTTTGCCAACTGACGGGATAACTTGGACACGACAGCCAATCCATTGTGTCTTGTTGAGTGGAGTGCCTTACTGCGGGCTGAGCGACAGGCTCAATGGCTCCTTCTTAATGTGACGTTTATGGCGCTCCCAGTCGGGAGCCTATCTAGCAAGGTGGTGTTGTGTTGGAATGTGTTTCGCGTACACCGCCCGCACCCTCCCCCCATCTTCGGTCTTCTCGTCTTTTGTCTTGACATCGGGTTCAGGTGGGAGGGTGGGGTAGATCCGGCGAGTCTTCTTTCACAACAATTAAGCTGCAGTCCCGCGTCTGCCTTAAGCTTGCTGAAACTTTTGGTGGATATCGTCGAGAGCGACGGTCGAACTGTCAGGGTGGGGTCGTGGTATGCGTTCTCTTGCAATGTGAGAACAGATGACTCCGTCAGACACAGATTGCTGCATCACCTGTTTTTACGATTTGCTTTATCAGCTCTCTGCCCTTGATAGTCCGTCTGTTCTTATTGGCTGCTTGTGGTGGCTCGAACTGTTTTGAGGGGCTTATAACTCGCAGACAGTTCCGGCAACTTCCTGAAGATGAAGCAGTGGGGAACTGTCGGGAACTGTCGCATTGCTGAGGGCTCGGTAGTCACCACAGGGTCGCCGATCG